AAGGCTGGAGGCGCTGGAAGGCGTGGAGCGGACCAGCCTAGCCAGCTGCTTTGGCGGCAGCAGCGTAGCCAATGGTCGCCGGCCACCATGGGAGGACGGCGGGCCACCACCTGCCATGGCCGTCCGAGGACGGGGCCAGCAGGTCCAGACAGGTAGACACCGGATCTGGCCTGAGAGGATGCAGATCGGGCTCATCACCGGCCATCCCGGTCAACATGGTAGCGAAGTGAAGGTTGAGGAAGAGGAGAGAGCGGGAGGAAGATGTTGCCGAAGCAGCCTTTTTGAACGTGACCGCGGGCCGCCGCTGCCACTCACCGGTGAGCAGCGGCCGCGGCCGGGGTCTGGCCTGCGCTGGGGGCCTTCGGCGGCGGCGCGGTGTGTTTCCCCGGAGCCGCCTCGGGAGACGACGCGTGACTGAGGTCTGTAAAGTGATGTGCTTGGAAGTATTAAACATACATAATATACATTGATAGGCAGGTCGTGTTCCATGCATGCATGCATACATATAGGGTTAGGACAACGGACAAGGCAAAATAGAATCACAGCCATGGTATGGTGTTTCGGCTTCGACGTTGAGGAAGGTCGAGTAAGAATGAGTTGCCTGATTTCATGGTCATCGATCAGGATCTGCTCTGCTTTTTTTCTCCCCTGTTGTACCTCCCCCTTCCTCTGCTGACTGAATAGGGTAGCCTTGCATATATTGGTGCAGTGCAAGCGACAAAGCAGAGGATATGGTGTGACCACCGTGTTCGTGAGATTATGCGGTTTTCCTCTGCTTTTCCAATCAAGGTTCTACTACAAAAGATGATTACAGCCACGGTTAATGGAAAATCATACGTCAAAAGATTTGTATGGTAGTGTCGTGGCCCGACATCATGGATCGGGGATCAGCATACAATGTTGGTGCTGCATGTCTGCTTGCTGTTTGTTACTGTGCCACAAGAGACTTCATCACCACACATTCGGTTCATTGACACTGTTGTCGCTGTTCCCGCCTGGCCTACTTCAATGACTCCCAGAGGCAGGGCACCAAGGATGCTGGGGTAATCGCTGGTCCAAATGTTATGCACATCTATGAGCCGACTGCTGCTGATATTTCTTATGGCCTTGACTGTTGTAACACGGCCTCCGAGAGTGGCGGAGACCTACGCGGCCAGCAGCGCGCAAAGACGTCTCCGACCGATCACCTAAGGGAAGGCCCAGCCACTACGCCTCCGGACCCTGACCCTGGAAAGATGACAGTTTCTCGGACTATGCTCGCAGGACGTTGCGTGCAACCTCGGCAGAGCCTCCGCCCGTTAGGCGCGTAGGCACCTCCGGATGAAGAGGGCGGAGGCCGCCCCACTAATAGGCTAATTGAATGCCAGCGTCTAATATGTGTGTGCAGGTAACCGGAGGAAGGCGCTCGTGGGCGGCGCGGGCGCGCCGGTTCGGCCTCCGCTCGAAGGGGCGGAGACCCAAGCAGGAGGACGGCGATGCTGGGCGTCAGGGGTCTACGGCCCCGGCGTCCCAGCAACGGAGACCTACGGCGGAGGCTCAAAGGCCCTTCGCCGAATCCAGAGGCCTGATGCGGCGGAGACCGACGGTGGAGGCCCAAAGGCCCATCGCCGGATCCTGAGGCCTGATGGGCCGGTTGATCGCGCAGGCCCAGTACCTGAGAGCGGCATGACAAGATTACTCCCTAGAGGAAAGGCGGGCAGCGGAATATTCCGAGAATGTACTGTAGCAGTTGAAGGGTACTATTGTAAACTCTGTAAAAGTGGTAGTTGAGCCCTATAAATAGGGAACACTTGTAACAGTACCCCAGGTTGGTTGATGAATGAATTAATGAAACCCTAGTTTTGCGTGCCATTTTCCTACACGACCGCCTGTCGTGCCTATCCCCTGAGCCTCCGCCTGAGGGCGACGCTCGGCAGGCGGAGGCCTCTGTCTCCTCCTCGTTGTCTGAGACCACTAGTCTCAACATTGACAATAGAATGTTTTTATATTGGACCTTGCATTGGAGGCAAAACTTTTGATATCTCTCCTCTCGGGAAAAAATGGAGTAACTATGGGCACCCGCGATGAGTTTGGTACACGTGTCCATCCAAATGAAACTACTGCTTAAATTTAGGAGGAATAATGGGGAAAAACTACATCTCTCTTATACACTGGATGCATGTGCATGGACGCATGCCACAAATCCACGCTGGGTGCCCTAGGTTACTTCATGGGAACCGTACCCGCCCAATTTTTTTTTGTTCTCATCGAGGAGCGTACCTTTGAGGTCTAGGCCACAGCTAGTGACACTCACCTTGCTGGTGAGGATTTTCACGACCGCGGATGTAGGGGAGGAGCTGGAACAAATTTAAGGCTGGGAGTGCTTGCCTTGTGGGTGCATAGATTTTTGCCATATGGATGCGTATAATATACTTGTTCCCAATCAATAGACTACATTAATTAACAAGGGAGGGATGGGAACATATATGTTCTATAGTAAAACTTGTCAATAGGTCGAAATCATGCACACAACACTAGTACGTACTGTACGTGTGCAAGTCCTCACATCTCCGTTAGTTGTACAACTCATATAGAAATACACACACACGTGCGCAAGCAAGGATACAACTAGTGCTGCAGTCTCACCTCTCCAGCTCGTTATATCAACACTTTGCTAATTCACCATATAATATTAATATTATCTGACACCCCGCTATGTCCCTGTGTGGCCGGGAAAAATAAAAAGTTTGGTGTACATCTGTCGAGGCCAGCTGACATCTGTCGAGGCCGGCACCCTTTCCTTTCCTTTCCAGCACACACCCCGGGCACGCCGGCTTCTTGGCTTCTCATGATTTGGCACTAGGTGGTCGATCGTGTCTTTGCAACTGTCCTCTGTGTGACAGTGTAGAAAACTGAAATTAAATCTGCCAGCAAGAGATGAGATGATGATCCCTGGCCCCGCGCGCTCCAATGGCAGAAAGGAATGTATAGGATCCCATCCCTGCGTAAATAAAGTTGGTTGCATCAAAAATACATACTAAGACGAGCAATGTGTTGCGACCGAAGGGATTTGCTAAAATTAGTTTCTCTTCGGGCGACGGTTATTGCATATATTTATATTAAAATTGCAGATTCTGTTCACTGTAATTTCGGTAGGCGCAATCCGCAATTTTTTTGTACTGAGAATAAAAAACTATTAGACAAAACTACAAATCCAACAAAATCTGATTTGTGTTGGCACAAAGATAATTAACAATTTACAATTATTTCTATAGGAAGACAAGAACAAAAATTTAATGTGTTATGACACAAAGACAAATAACAAAAGTAACAATTTATTACTTGTACTAGTTAATAGTATAAGAGTATTGCCTGAAATCAACTTAAAATTCAGGCACTTGAAATACAGCAGAAGTGAGAAAATTATTAACTACCTGGCCCTGGCTAAATATACACTTGCTTTATTTCTGATCTGGCGGCACAACAATTAGTCTTGATCTTCACGAAAGTAGTCGACTGACTTGATATTGCTGATCTTGTCGTTCTCAGATGAGCTGCCTCTTAACAAGAACAATTATCAACCCGAGATACCTCGGGCTTACTGATGTTCGGTATTCCGAAAGTGTCTCCATGGTGGCATCAATAGTCTCATCTCATGCTGTCTAGTGATGGGACTCCTTTTAGCACCTGCTCATTTGGGCAACCGATGATCCTGATTTTCTGTAACCAAGAGAGGTTGTTGATCCTCTTGAGCATGGGACAATCGATTGCATATGTCGAGTGTGGGGACACCTTGAAGCACCTGCAGATTTAGACAGCGGAGGATACTAATCTTGTGCGATCTGCTGAGGCCAGTGGCCCTCTTGGGCTTGGGGCAGAGGGACACGTCAAGCTCGACAACTGAAGGGAAGTTCTGCACATATATATCATGTTGGTAAGGTCCTCGTACAGGTTGAGAGCCCAAGCGACAGAGGTGTTCTGGTGCAAGGCCCAAAAACCAACCGACGACAGGGTGGCTGTGCTCTGTTATACTTGGTCCTTACTCTGTTGACTGACATATGGTATATATAGGATGAACTGCATGCTGTCCCGTGCTTCCAAAGAATTATGAATGAACCATTATATTCCTCAGTCACAGATCAAAGTGAAGGCTCATCTGTCTCCCTCAGAAAGCAGAGGGCCTTCATATATTGGTGCAGTACAGGCGACAGAAGCAGAGGACACATATGGTGTTGCCACGAGAACAGAGGAGAGGAAAACTCCATAATCGCCACGACAGCGAGGAGGCTGAGCAAGATCGACCAACAATAATGATTGGGATGCCTGATTTCATGATCATCAATAGGGTCAGCATACAATGTTCGTGCTGCATGTTCTGCTGCTTTCATCACCACACATTCGGTTCATTACAAGATCCACGGCTTCAGACCCATTACATGTGTAAATATATACAGGTCCATTACTTAAAAAGAATATATGGAGTGTACAAATATACATGGTCAAGACTACAAGAGTGAACAAACCATGATTTAGTACTATGACGACAGTGTGCACGTGAACAGAGAATGTGTACTGTGTGCTGGAGACGAGCTTCTACCAAGCAGATGTCACTCCCACTTGCCACTGCAAGCTAGCATCATGTGGCTCTGCCGTAAGGATCCTGGATCCCTGCATACATTAGTTTACACGGTCAGTGCATAATGACATTTGAAACTACGTACTAAGTGAGAGAAAAATTGTAGTTACAAATATAGGAGATGATAATAAACATACTTACACCAGACTTCAACAGGGAAAAGGTGAACGCAAGCACTGTGTTTTTCTTTTGTTCTAAGAGAATTGATTGTCCTCTCATCGGATGGGCAGGCTGTAGCCACACTTTGTCTAATCACCATATATTTTGGTCCAATGAAAGCTTTTCCTGCAATGAATCAGAGTACAAGCAACAATTACTAATAATGCAATTTAACACACGAGCCATCTATGATGCAGCTATGCAGTTACCAGTCTTCGTCTGTGTCTCAATCTTCGAGGCAGACAATCTTGTGCTTTCCAATGTGGCTGATCTTGTCCCATTCGGAGCTACCTGGAGATGAGGAGGATTCGTATAGCTTCTTGTTGCAAACCAACTCGAGATACCTTGGGTTTACAGCTCGCAGGTATCCTGGAAGCGTCTCCATGGTGGTGTCCGCCAGTACAAGGTTGTCGGGTGCTGTGACACCTTCTAGAACCTCCTGCTTTGTGCAGCGAATGATCCTAATCTTCTGCAACCTGCTGTCGAGTGCTGTGATCTTCTTCAGCTCAGGGCAGTCAAACACATCAAGTTCCACAACTGAAGGGATGTTCTCCACATGTGTCAGGTTGGTGAGCTTGTACAGGTATAGTTCTCTCAGAGCATGCCTCTTGCTGCTGGCGAGGCCTGGTGGAAGACAGCTCAGCTTGCAGTTTTTGACTTGGAGTCTCTCCAGACAAGGCATGGCTATGGTAGTTTCCACATCCATATGCTCCTCAGAGTCGTTCCATTCCCACTCTTCCCACTCACGTAGCCCATTCAGAAATAGCTGTCTCAGTTTAGGAAACGGTGCAGATGTACTAGCAGTGGAACCTCTAGCTGCCACGAAGGATGACGCTTGGAATTGGGGGCCAATACGCTTGATGGCTGGCGCATCTATGATGGTAAGCATTTCTAAACTTGGGAGGCAGCATAGACCATCAGGGAGCTGGGTGCAGCAAGGCACGTTCTCTAACCTCAAATACCTTATGCTCTCAAACTCTGCCGATGCTGGAGCACACATCCAGTCTGGTAGCCGGCGACCAATGTATCCTCCTATCACACGTAGATTCTCCAGGCAGGTTGGAGGGCAGAGCTTTTCCAAGACTTCCTCGGTCACACTCTGCCGCTGCTGCTGCTCTGCCTCAGCACCACCTGTCCCTATAGTATGTCCTCTTGCACTATAGTTCAACTCTAGATACCCAAGGTGGCGCTTGCTGCTAATCATGGCCTTTTCAGCCATCCGGCTGTCCTGCACCTTCTCTAGGCCATCTAGTGTAAGCTTCCTAAGCTGAGAGAGAGGCTCCAGCTCTTGCAAACTGCACCAGCTATTGCTTGCATCCATGTCCACGTGTACTGGGAAGCCATAAAGTGATCTCAGATTTGTTAACTCACTGAACCCCTTAGGCATGACACTAACATTTGATCCCTTGGTGTTAAGAGATCTTAGATGCACAAGTCTTATGATACTGCTAGGAAGATAGCATAGCCTCTTACGGTTACCAAGTGAAATGTATAGTAGAAATTTCATCTTGTGAATGTCGTCCGGTAGCCTAGATATATCAGTATCCTTTAAGCGAAGGTATCTTAAGTGCTTCAACATAGATAGAGAGGGAACCAATCTATTAGAATCAGCAGACCATATGTACAGTACCCGCAGGCCAGAGAAACTACTCAGCGAGTCACCAGGAAGATGAAAGTTTACTCTAGAATTTATAATTAATGTCCTAAGTGACTCTCGCCTTTGCAAAATGCCCCAATCCAGTACTGATACGGTCTGTTCTATGGAGAGGCGACGGACATGCATACCAGTAGCAGCCTGTTCTCTGCCAACCACCACCACTAGTGATTCTTCTCTTGCCATGTATTCAGCAAAGGTGCGGACCACATCGTGCTTATTTGTTCTATAAGGTTCCTCTTTATTAACTCTCGATAGTACTCAGTTGCCATCTCTTCAAACCCATACTCATGTGAAATAATACTACTACCATCCAAAGGTTGGATAAATCCTTCACCAATCCACATTTGAGTTACTACACCATGTACGAGTTCTTCACCTCTAGGGAATAGTGAGCAGTACAGAAAGCATTGCTTTAACTGGGGGGACAAGTCCTCGTAGCTCAAGTATAGTCGGTTGTCGAGTTCTGGAGGCAGTCTGGTCAGTGACCAAGCTGGCTTGTTCAAAACAGATTTCCACTCATGCTCACTTGGGTATCTTGTGCTCAAGAGACCTCCAATCACTTTAATTGCAAGTGGTAAGCCATCACAATTTTCAAGAATTTCCATCCCAATAGTTTTCAGTTGATCAATTCCATCTACCTGCCAACATTTAATTTAAAGCTTCTTAATTATTTCTAACAACTATCAGGTTGCTTATGTACTTCTCTAAGCATATAAGCTTCTTCTGTAAAACAATGAAGCGTAGGTTGGCCAACGTATTGGAAGTGTACCGTCCTTTATTCGAAAATAAGCACAAGACTATGCTTGGAAAGGGCCGATTTCAAATGCAATCCGCATGAATGGGCGCAAAATCCCATAAGACTAATATATGGAATCCGAGCATTGCAATTGGTCTTTAAATGTTCTCTTTCGGGAAACAGGACTATACTACAGAAAGTTTTGTAGTGGCTTTCCTTGCAAAAAAAAAGTTTTCTTGTGGCTACAGGAATCGGACTTTAAATGGTCTCTTTGCGTTTTAAATTTGTTGTCAAAATCTGGGCATTATCTACTAGGACGCACCTGATGCATTAAAATATTCATTTATATGCAAACTTAGGTCTTCGTTTTGGTATATAAGAAATGGTAGACTGAGTAATTTAGTTGTAAATTTTGGACTACTTTACATTATGGTTTGTAATGGCATTGGTGGATAATTTAGACAAACATTATATTTAGAGGTTACTTATTGACGAAATCCAAACATAGAGACATGTTAAGCCTCAGGATCGAGGGTTCCCGACCGAGAGATCCCACGACCGACCCCTCCCGGATCGCTCGGGGGCTACACCCATCAGGTGCGCTCGTGCGCACCCTCCGGCTAAGTCATTGGGCCGAGCCCGAGCACGCCTGACGCCTCTGCTTGGGACTCGGGGGCTCGCCCGAGCCCCAGGCTCCTTATCGAAGGTAGCATGGACCCGATCCTTAGCTCCTTCCCGGCCTTCAGTTCTAGCAAAGGCCCGGGCTCGAGGCAAACCCCCTGAGCCACCAAGGCTCGGGGGCTCCCCGGCACTGCCCCTCGGGCGCGGCGCTGTCAACCGCTCCTCCGAAAGGGTCACGCATTGGGCGTGACGCAATAAGCCAAACTCATCCGCTAGCCTCGAGGGCTCTAGGGCTTCCGGGCTCGCGCGTCAGCCCCCCAAGCCAGCTGTCTTCACCACCAAGAAGCCTCCAGCAGGCGCACCTGGTGAAGACCGGTCCAAGCCGACATAGCCTGACATTCAGCGTGTCAGAACAGAGTAGCCGGACGATGCCCAGGGCTTCTTTGGCTCCACGACATCGCCACGGTCCACATGACACCACGGCAAGACCCTCCTGGACTCTGGCGCATGTAGACCATAGGCTAAACTCTCACAAACCGTCATGTACCCGACCTACCTTGGTATGTAAGGGGAGGTCGGATCCTAAGACGGGAGAGGATGATTCCAGTGGACGATTCTAGAACACAATTCCAGACGATCTAGAGACGGATTGTTGAACACCTCAACAAACCAGTTCGTGCTCTGCACCAAGAGCAAATCCACCTAGAGAGGGTCACCGAGAGATCCTTCCCCTTCCTCCGATCGTCTTCCTCCTCTTCGGCGAGGGGAAAGGCTCCACCGGCGGCGAGGCTTCCCTAGGATCAGCACCGAGCGATCCCCTACAGATCTCTCTCTCTTATAGATTCTCGTGTTCTTGAGTCCACCCAAGACACTGGTGACATGTACTCTGACACTAATACGAACAACAATGCTTGCCGCGGTTTTGATCCCGTGACAGCTGGCGCTCTAGGTAGGAGAGCACGTCAAGTGTGATTCCCGCTCTATAGTGGCCGGAGCCACCCGCCTCGTCGCCGGAGCAAGCGGCGCCGCCCCAGACGGTGGCTTCCGCTTCCCCGGCGAGTTCTCTGTCACGGCCAGCACCTTCGCTCCGGGCCATGTCCTCAACTTCGGGAGCCTGGCCTACGTCGCCGACCGCTATAGCGAGCTCCGCCCACTCAAGGAGGCTCCGCCCGCTCAAGTGTAATTTGACCATGGTTCTTCTATATGACTAGGACACTTAGATTGGCCAACATATTAAAAGTGTGCCATATTGTAAAGATTTGTGGTAGGGCACTCTTCAATGGTGGTCTTTCCTAAGGGGCACTGCTCACTGTTGTCTTGGCTACAAAGTACTTTTCAATGCTGGTAATTGGTTCTTTGACAATGTAGCTATTAAAATAATATTTCTAAGGACTACATGGAGAGAGAAGTTAAATGTGACCAAAATGCACCTGACTATTATAATACAAACCTTTAATAGTTATCCAAAAATTCATAATTGCATATAAAGTTGGATGAAGACGAACTTTATATCAAAATTGTAGTGCTTAGTGAGATCTATAATTTTGTTGTTGACAAGTTTTGGATTGAAAATTATTTATAGTATGAAATCAAATTCCCAAATATTAAATTCAAAGTTAGAATATCTTAAGTCATTTAGAATGCTGAATATTCATTTTATTATTTTGTATTTTTAAATTTGAAATTTAACATTTTTAAAATGTCTGTTCCAGTGTTCGAAGTAATTCGAAATTCCTATATTTGGGATTTCAAAATTTAAGAAGAGACTCTGTATTACTTCAGATAAAAAATTATCATCTACAAAGTTTAGATCCTACTGATAACTACAAATTTTGTATATACCATGTCAATATCTGAGATCATTTATATTTATAGATTTTGTTAAAATTTGATAATTTCAAAGGAAGTTTTGGCAACCTAAATAGTTTGAAACAAAGAATTTGTCAATTACAAAGCTATAGATATTATTGAGCTCTACAATTTTGATTATATTTAAAGTTTATGTTCATACGACTTCATATGCAAAAGTTATGTATTTTTTAGATACTATTAATTGTTGCACTATAATAGTGAGGGGTATTTTGGTCACTATTAACTTCCACTATAATTGATGTTAGATTTCAAATACCATCAAATTTCAAATAGCTAGATTTCATACGGAGCTAGCCATGCACTAAATCTTTCATTGGAGTGAATAATAGCTAACTTGATCCTAGTGTTTTGTTGTTACATTTGATTATTTCTTCTAGATCATAGTTTTACTGGTCTCCTTTTGCTACTCTCATAAGCTGGTGTTCCTAGCACGAATGCTTAGATTTAATGGAACTCCGATCCATATGCTTTCTATCAAAATCAAGTATAGATCCTAGTTGTATAATGTATGGATAGACAACAAACCTGATCAGGCTGCAGCTGCTTCTTGAGCAAAGACCAAGCATCATCATTCTCTAGAGGCTTGACACGGTGTTGGTGCAGGGGGGCTTGCATCTGTTGGGGTAGGTGTGCAGATCTTGTGGTGACAAGGACCCTGCTTCTAGGTTGTTTCTTGCTAGCATTTCTGACTGGGACACTAAGCACGTCGTTCCACACTTTCTGGCTCCACACGTCATCCATCACCAGCAGAAACCTTCCACTGGATAGGGTGTGGAATAGGGTCTCCGTCAGAGTGTTTTTGTCCTTCTCGGCACCATGGTCGCCTCCAGCATGCTTGATTGCTGTCCTCAGTAGCTTAACCTCATCAAACTGTTGAGTGATGCTTAGCCATATCGTCTTGGTCCTGAAGTGCTCTTGGATGCTTGTATCATTGAAGATCTTCTGAGCAAGCGTAGTCTTTCCCATGCCACCTGCGCCGATGATAGACACGACTTTGATGTTGTAATTATTATCATCATCTGTGGTTAGCACCTGGACGAGCTCCCTTGTATCCCTCTCTATCTATTCCCCAACTATGGCTGACTCGTCGACCTGTGAACTTGTCCTATAGCTGGATAACTCAGCAGTAGTTAGCTTCCTTGGCTCCGGGCTGGAACCGAGGCCAATATTGAACTTGTACTTGTCCGCCTCCTTGTGGGTGCTTTCCAGCCTCTGGTTGAGCTCCTTGATGCGGCTGCCTATCTTGTGTGTGAACACAGGATTCCGCAGGCAGAAGAGAAATGGCTGGAAACAGCCGGGCGACTTATGCTCCACATTGCCACCACCTCTAGACTCCCTCCGCTTGTCAGCCTCGAGCTGGCACAGGTCGTGGATGTCAGTGGCATCATACATGGCGTTCTTGAGCTTTGTCGACCATCTTTGCACGCTCGTGTCAGTGATGCGCCTCCTCTCGGCATCTGTGAGGAAGGCTTTGAGGCCTTCCATGTTGTCCTCCAGCTTGGTGATCTCACTGGAGACGCCAAGCAGCACGGACACCTCTTCTTGTGCCATGTCCGCGATAAGCTTCTTCACGTAGGGTGCTAAAGCATCCAGGGCGGCCGCCATGGCTCAAGCCTATCTACCTGCTAATAGTAGATCATAGATATATAAGCACAGATTTGCCTCAATTATCCCTAAAGAGCACAACATAACATGGTATAAAAATTAGCTATATAATGGTACATACTCGGTCGTGCATGGAATGGAGGTGGACAAAACTTGGGCGAAGGAAGTGCTCACCTCAAGTTCTTATTGCAGGGCTCTTTGCGGAATGAAAGTGTGGAAAAGAGAATGCGTGAACGGATGATCCAAGTCCAGCAGGAAGCGATTCTCCATGTATAGGAGTAGAGCTGGGAGAATGGAGTAGAGGAGTACCAAGTTGACTGAGACAGGTCCTTTGTATATTTCTTGTTCATCGATGTAATATAACAACGCCGTTAAAAGATTTGGAATCACATGCATGCCCGCTTAATTAAGTCTTCACTAATCTATTCACAAAAGAAAAAAAAATCCAGTAATCTACACAGGCCGAGCGCCGGAACTACCACAAAGTAATGAAGCTGGCCTGCTGGGGTCACATGCACGCACATGTAGTGTTTGTCTTCATCGATCCAGCATTCCACGTGTCGTGTGCACGGTGATCCGCTGCTATTGTTTTCACCAGTGGCATCTCTCGATTTACGTACCCTACTCTGCTCTGCTTTGTTTTCACTAGTTTGAGAAGTTAGATTTTTCTTATGTTTGACCAAATTTATAGAAATTCACATCAAATTCTTTCGGCAGCCGAGAACTGATTTCTCTGCGTACCTGGAGGGCAGACGTGGGGCCGACTCCCAGCTCACGTTGGTAGCCTAGGAACTTTGGAAGGAGCGCAATGAATATTGCTTTCCGTGGATCTCTGCATTAGGAGAAAGTTTGTTGTGATACACGCACCTTGCTACTCTCTGTAGATCTCAGTTGTATACCACCACCAGGTTGTAGTCTCCTCTCCTCTCCCTCTGGTACATGGAAATAAAAGGATTATTGGATGGCCGGGTTGCCTTGCAGCCGAAGCAGCTTTGTGGTGAATGATGAGAGTCTGATGAGGAGGACAGGAGTTGTCTGTATAGTTCGTGATGGTGGTACCTAGCGCGCTACCTAGCAGCCAACGTGTGTGTGAACTGTGAACCTGGGGGCTCGCATAGATATAGATCTCGACCGCCGCTGGTGGACGATAGCAGATAGCTAGACCGGGGCCGGCCGATAGAGAAATTAATAAATGACGCTGGTGGAGGTACATGAAAGGACTATGTGAAATCAATAATCCAAGAAAATCTAGCAAGTAGTAGGTTTCTTAGAATAGGTTTTGTGTCTTGTCATCTATCCTCTCTATCCTATCATATGCCTATCACACTTATCACATCTTGGTCCTCGTATAGACATAGGTTTTTTATAACATATTGGTCCTCGTGTAGGCATAGTTTTTTATAACATATGTAACCTCGAAAACAGAAAATCTAGCAAGTACACTCTTAATCACCATTTATAATAATAAGTGTTGGATCAGTATTGTTTTCTAAATAATTACTAACCTCTGCTGTTATGAACTGGGATTGAACTTAACTTGGTGATAAAAAACTCCAGTAATAATTAAAATTAAAATTTGAAAATTAAAATCTGGACATAGGATGCAACAAGTACTTCCACTGTAACTAAAATGAAAGTTTTAACTAAATAGATATTGAAGATACACTGAGGTGTCATGTTGAGGGGAAGAACTATGTATATGGAAGACAAAACATATGGATCAATAATTGATAGGTTTATCACAATTGAAGAGAAATCACATAGTATCTATACACATGTTGAGTTAGAAAATGAACAGAACGAAAAAGCATGCTAATTAATATACATATTTTTATTAGTTATAGTTATAATATGAACTCTGATACTTATGTCTTATATAAGAATATAGGCTACGCAAAGCCACTGGTGCAGCAAGGTTTTTTGCTCCGGTTGGAAAACCCCTTTAATCCCGGTTTCCCAACTAGGAGCACCAATCCGGGACTAAAGGTATCCTCCTTTAGTCCCGGTTTGACGCCCGGGACTAAAGGAGGACCTTAGTCCCGGTTGGAAACACCAACCGGGAGTAAAGGGGGGCCTCCAAGCCTGGCCAGGGACCGTCACAGGGCAAGACCTTTAGTCCCGGTTGGAAACACCAACCGGGACTAAATGTCCCTCTCTTTTTTTCCTTTTTCTGGTTTCTATTTTTGGTTTCTTTTTTTATTTAATGATTAGTTTTGATATTAAAATACATTTTCGAATATGCTGCTAATAGTAATATATATGTGAACTTCGCACGCGTAAGTTTTCGTTCGAACTTTGTACATAAATAACAAACGAATATACGCGTACATGCAAATATATATGATGATCATATATATACACACGTTATTTTATGTACATATAATATGTGCATACATATATATATACATATATATATATACATATATATATATATACATATATATATAATACAAAGGTTTGATATATAAATTGTTTATGTCCTTAGCAATTCACTCCTCCAGATTTGGCATCCATGTTTCGTTCGGGTCATTGTAGAACTCGCCGTTGGGGTTGATGACCTGGTCATTTAGAAATCCTACTATAGTCTCTCGAATTGCTTTAAGTTGGTCAAGTCGAATGACTCTTTTCCTCAACCATTCAGTCTTCAATAAAAGTTAAAGGAAAAAGTATTAATATATATATATATATATATGTATGTGTATTATTGCTCATGTAATTACTTATACAAATGAGAGCAATAAAGAAATTGTAAATATACGATCGAAATAATATAAAGGAAAAAGTATTTATATACGTACTTTGAGTTGCTCTTCAGGAGTTCTCTTTGAGTACGCCATGATGAACTCGCAAACATAGTATCCGCAGTAGTTGTTACCCTGCTCCTGTCTTAGAACCCACTTTTACGACAAAAAAATCAATTAGGGTGAATTGAAATCATCATATGGTGTTAATTGAATATAAATGTGTAGTTATAGTACTTACTTTGTGTGCGATTACACCCAGTGGCGCTTTGCAATGTTTCATTTTTTGTTCCTCAATGAACTTTTTCCAAACCCTGCTCCCAATAAAATAAAAAAATAATTTAACCTTTAATAATTGTTGAGAGATCGGCGCCATTACATATATATGTTGTTATAGAGAAACTAAATTAATTACCCTTGTATAATATCTATCATGTCTTGATACTCCGTTTGCGGTTTTCTCAACGAGTTTAAGATTTTCAATCTACTATTGGCCATATCGATGACCATCAATATCCAGTGATTGCTGTGTAAACATATATATATATAGCATCCTTTAATGTCGATCATATATATGGGACATCAATATTTCCTTACTAGCTAGTTACCTCATATATATATATATGTGTGTGTGTGTGTGTGTGTGAGAGAGAGAGAGAGAGAGGTAACTAGCTAGTAAGGAAATATTGATATATATATGTGTGTGTGTGTGAGAGAGAGAGAGAGGTAACTAGCTAGTAAGGAAATATTGATGTCCCATATATATGATAGACATTAATTACTTATAATAACACTCACTTGAAGTAGTAGGGGAAGAGTATCTCCTTCTTGTCACGTTGGTTCACTAAGAAATTCATGAAATTTCTCTCAGGTTGAGGCTTATAATCCTTCGGGGGGTTAGGGTGTTTGTATACGACATACGGATCAACGAACCCAACATCATTATCCTTTCTCTTTCTAAGTTCTGTCATCTCATATCTACATACATGAAAATTGTGAATATATATATTGTGAATATATAATAAAGAAATTGTGAATATAGTAGAAAATAATCACACTTACAGACAATAGCAGCTAATGAGACTTTTGTCGAGAGAGTCCAGGTAGCATAGTTGGTGTAATTCTGCAAGCTCGACATAGATAATGTCATTGCCACGGAAGTAATGGTGGTTTCTAATTCCGACAGAAAAATAGATTTGTCCCGCATCAGACGCCGACATATACCACCCGTTTAGCAGGTATATTTGCGTACCCAGTTCACCTAATTTCTCTAGGTTGTATAGACTCTGGCTTGGTATAAATTTCTTGTAAGGATCCACTTCCGGAGCAGATGGTCCTTCAGCGAGCACTTCGGCAAGGTTCAAACCAGTGTCCTCATAAAACCGAAGAAACGACTCATAGCCGCCAAACCTCCTCCACTAAGTTTAAGTTTGAACCATATTCGTTAGGAACGACAAGGGGGGATTGATTGTTGCTATTGTTGTCCGAGTTGTGCAACACCTTTCCCTACTCTCTTCTTTTTTTGCGCCGCCTCATATGACTTGGTGAGAGAGCGGTCATAGTCCGATATCGGTTGTTTCGCGGCGCTCTTAAGAGAATCCCATTTTTTTTGTTCCAACTTCTTTCTTAGCTGATCTGGAGGTAGGAAGAAGTATGATGGCTCCGGGTTCTCCCTCGCTCGTCGTGCCTGTTTTGCACCTTCAAAGAAATCTGTCACTTCTTTTTGTACTGCATCCTTTAATTCCTGTTCACTTTTCTCATAAGATAGTTTTTGGGGAATAACTGGATGAGTATTTGCTTTCTGCTTCTTTGCCAGCGGGTAGGGCAACGGCTTCGTTTGCGGGGCGGACCTCTTAGGGGCTAGCTTCCTTGGAGGCGGGGGAGGCATTGGAGACCGCCTTGGAGGCAGTGCAGACTTTGGAGGCGGCAGAGGCGTTGGAGACCTCAGCGGAGGAGTTGTGGACTTCCTTGGAGGTGGCGGAGGAGTTGGAGATGGTGGGGATGCAGTAGTGCTTTCGAAGGCGTCATCATTGCCCTGAGCACTATGATGGTCGGGAGAAGCAACAACTGGACTTTGGTTGGCGGAGGCCCTGCTTTGTGAGTACAAAGAATAATGAGATATAAGTAAATGCTTATTATTAGTCATGCCCGTAGAAAATTATCAAAAAATTGTTTTGTTAACTTTTGTCCGCACCTAATGTCTGCTGGCGGTGGAGCAGACGCCCTAGGGATAACGATGTAGCGCTTGCGCCATAGTAT